ATATACAGCCACCACAAAGAAGAATACAGTCATAATATAACATTCAAGCAAATAGTCAATATTTAAATTTATACAGAAAGGGAAAGTGATAAACCTCGCACAAACTTACACCCAGCAAAAATTCGAAGAAAAAATAGTGTTATCGAAACAGATCAAACGAACCCAACAAACATTCGAAGAAAAAAACTTGCCAATAAGGTCAAAAATACTAAAAGATACCACTTTTTTCCACATGGGCAGCTGAAATTGTCGTTTTGGTTGTAAAATTTATCAAACTTTGGCTTCTTCACTTCTATGAAATTGAAGAAAACGAAAGTATGGCTGAGAAGTTATGAAGAAGAAGAAGAAGAAAGGATTGATTGATTGAAGTCAACAAGATATAAAATGGGTACCTGAGATCAGAAATGGAAAATCTATGGAAGATTAGGCCTGTTCTCTTTGTCGTTTTCAAGCCGTTTTCTATTTTTAATTTTCAAAAACGGTGAAAACGCGTTCTCTTTCCTATTTTTGAAAACTCGTTTTTGAAAATGGCAAAAAAAATAACAAAGGAAACACAAAATGAGGTTTTGCACGTTTTGAGAAATTTCAACCCAAAACAAGCCAAAAGGCCCAAAATGCGGCACTGTTTCAAAAACACTGGAAATGATTTCCAATCCTCTTCCTCAGGCTTCCTCTTTCCCCTCTCTTCCTCTCTCACAAACTGAAAATCGAACAGCTCCCCTTGCCAAATCTCCGGGTTCTATACGGGCGTTTTCAAGTAGGTTTCCCTCTGATTCTTTGCTTGCTATATTTTTTGCGGTCTGTGATTGCTATTCAAAATTATTTTCCTTGGGACAGATTTCGTATTTGCCAAATCTACGTGTTTTCGTTGTTTCTGTTCGTGGATATGGGCGATTTTGATATTCTTGGATGGTCTATTAATGGTTTGATTTTGTTCGGTGCCTAAATAATGTGAAATTTCACTAGGAAATGTGGATTTTAGGGGTTCTTCGGCAAGTCTCGATGATATCACATGTAATTAAGTTCACCAAATTGTTTTCAGTGTCTATTATGTTTTTAATTAGAAATGAATTTTTTGATCCTTTTTGTGGCTTTTGATAACGAACCAAAATCATGTACACATATACTAGGACTATAAATCGGTTTTAAAGTTTGTGTGAATTAAATTTGTTTTTGTTGGCTTTGGTTTTTGAACTTTGTGTGAATTAAATTTGTTTCTGTTGGCTTTGGCTTTCCAGCTTGCAAATGAAGGTGCCAGAGTAACCATATTGTGTGGATGATTAGCGAGTTGATCATCGTTAAACTATCAATTTAAGTGCCAGAGTAACCATATTGTGTGCATGATTAGCAAGTTGATCATTGTTAAACTATCAATTTAATCCCTCCTATTGTTGCATAACTGTGACTGTAAAGTGTCTGGTCCTTTCAGTACTTTTGGGGATTGATATCAAGCTTGCTACCTTCCTAAATTGAAATTCCTCATGTGTAACAAGGTTTTGGTAAAAATCAAATTTTGAAACAACTCATGAATCTTTGTCTTCCATTTCAAATAATGCATGTGTTTGACTTGAATCCCCCAGCTTTTATATTTCAATACTTTTGTGGTGATGAATGTTATCTTATGAAATAACACTAGCATCTTAGGACATCTTTTTAATTTATGTGTTCGGATTACAGCTGTTTTCTTACAGCTGAAGGGAACCCTTGAATTAAAATAGTAGGAGATTTTGTGTTACTTATAGAACAAAAAGAGTGGTAGTTGATTTTTTTCTTCTTTAGGGGATCAACAAGGGAAAGAGTTTGATAACTGAGGACTTTACAAGGAGGGAGGAGAAGAGGATTGACAAGGAGTATGATGTGGTGTTGGTGCCATCAGATGGGGTTTGTTTGTCCTGTTCCGAATCCAACTGTTCAGTTGGCTGGTAATGTTGATGCTGATTTGATGATTGCTGGTGGAACTGAAGCTGCCATTATTCCCATTAGAGTGGGAGGTTTTGTCGCATGTGGAGCTTTGTCTCAAAGAAACGATGATCCAACACAAAATGCATTTGATGAGGTATTGATGAAAGGGAGGAATACCGAGGACGAGGCCATGCCCCACAAACAATTGTCGCGTGATGTGTTGCATAATCTGTGCTCAGATTGCCAGATTGCAAGGGAGCCCCCACAAATTCTTTTTATCTTTGCCCCACATCATATGTTTATTTTTATCTCAGTTCTTGGATGGCTAATGTTGTAGCAGTGGGTCAAGTCAGGTTGGTATGGTCGTGTCAATCAAATCACTTCAAGTTATCAAGTCAAGTTATCGGTGGTTTTGTTCATTTGTATTTGAATAAATGCATGGCCTATTTGTTTCATGTTATCCAATTTTATTTTTTAAACTAAGGTGCAATGGAACCGATCAAATTTGGTTTGAACTTTGTAAGTTAAGGTGAAGGCATAGCACCTCAATCACTCTGCTAACAAGCTTGTATTTGAAATTTTCAACTAGAAAAAACGATTAAAAACTATAATCATGACCGAGATGGGGAATTTGCCAAAATGACTATACTCACACCGTCTTTAAACATTCAAATGGTTATAAAAAGTAAAATAATAAGCATTCAAATGATTATTAAAGTTTATTGAATAATCAGATTTTTTGAATAAAATATTGTAAAAAAAATATTCTCAAAATTTCAAAATAAACGCGTTTCCATTTTTTTGTTTTCAGAAACAGTTTTTCAAAATGACAAAAAGAACGCATTTTCAGCAATTTCAAAACAAACACTCAAAACAGAAAACACAAAATGAATCAAAACTCAAAACACAAAACTAAAACACAAAGAGAACACCACCTAAAGTTTTGAATTTCCAACTATATCTCTTCCAACCGAAACAACCATTCTTACAACGAAAAGATAACTGTCTACGAAAATTAAAATACGAAATAAACCAAGACAGTGGAACCCTAGATTGAGACAAGCAACGAGACAACAGTAAAAAATTTAAAATAATAATAATTGTTGGGCGAACCTGTTCACAAAGAATGCGTTACCCCGTCAGGCATCGAGTACTCAATTTTCCCATGAATGCTTCAAAATTTAACCAAAAAAAGGATTTAATTCATCGAAAATTAGATTGGACGAAACTTTCCCCTTTTCGGGTTGTGTCTAAGAATTGAACTGAGGATTTGTGCAATTTTAGAAGTGTAGTTATTGGAAGATTTTGTCAGAAAAGGGGGTTTGTCTTTAGGCGAGTGGGCTGAATACCATTACTGCCATTTGTTACGTTCTTCTACATATATGAACCAAGTTTTTGCGATGGTGTGGATTTAGCTAAAAATCAAGCTTTTGTTAAATTTTCACGAGAGTTGATAAAATATTTGGTTAAAAAATTTGTAAAAATAAAAAAAAAATGAATTTTAAAAGATAGAAACAAAGCAGAAGTATAAATGTCATGAACCCTAATGTTTTTTCATACAAATTTTGAACTGACAAAACTGGAATTTCATTTAGGCATCCTGGTACTCGTCAAATCACGTTTATATCATTGATAATCTCATCAATTTTGCTTAAAGAATATATTTTAAAATAGCACTACTGAAATTTTGCATGACATGGATAATTATATTTAGCCGTTGTTTAAACGGATGATAAATATTATAATTAAAGTCAACAATTAATTTTAATCATATATTTTATTGAACTTTTGAATTTTTATCAACATTTCAAACGTACATTTTATCAACTTTATTCAATCTACTAAAAAATTGGTTTTTTATTTTATTTTTTTTAGCAATACCAAATAAGGTCTTAATAAAATTGAGACGAAAAGCATATTTCACTTTGACATAAATTAAGTATGGCTGTCATTTTTTGATTTAAATGTAGCACCGAGATACAATATTTCAAAATAGGAAAATTCGCTAAGTATAAGAATTATTTCACTAAATCCCTACAGCAACACCGGATTTGCAGACAGTTTTTTTTTATTATTATAATATTTTTTTGTCATCTGCCAATGAATCTGTGCCATGTGGAATCATGTAAAAATTCTACGAAAATTCACATGTACCTATAGCATTAATCTTCAAAATAAACTGCAAGTATTCTAAAATTGATTACTAGATTTACTGTAAGTGTTACGTCATAATTCCAATTGATTTTAAATGTATACACGGCTAATATAGTGGATGCATTTTATCTAGATGGCGAATCTATTAATAAATTAAATTATTATTCTGATAAACTAAATTAATAGAGTCTCTAGATTCAAATTTTTGGTAACTTTTTAATCACAATGAGTTGTGATTATGAAATACAAACTTCATTTGATTGAATTTTAAATTATCATTGATAATAACGTTATATAAATATTTTTATTACAAATTGACCAACACATGTGGTATTTCACTTATGAAGTGAATAGATGATTAAAGAAGTTAAAATGTAGTGACACTTAAATGAAGGCGTGGATGTTTTGTTAAAAGAACAAAATATTGCAGGTCCGCTATAGAGATTACTCATATATAATTATCTAAGTGTCAGCTGTTAATTTCTAATTCTCGATAATCGAAATTGGTCCTCCAACTTGAGGTCATTATAATAACTTATATGAGAGCAGTCATACTTTAGTGATGTTGCTCTACAAAAATTGCGAATACTGCATCATTCAAATATGTCAAAAATCATATGAAAGTTTTTAATTTTATTCTTAGATAGTAGGAGACTATGATCTATGTTTCATCTGCTTAAATAATTTTAGGGTTTGGGTGAATTTTGGGGGCGGAGATGAGGGATGTTGTGCAATTTGTGAAATTGTAGGCCCCTCCTCAAAATTTTAAATTAGGGGTCAAGTTGTAATTTTAAGAGGGCGTGTTCTAGAATTTGAGAAATAGTAGGGTCTTTTTTGTAATTTTAAAACTTGGTCAGATTGCGACTTTTAAAAAGATTTTGAATGCAATTTCGAAAATGGATTTAAATGTGATTTTCAGAAAAAGTTTGACCTAAATTTCAATTTTGACCATTTAAAATTTTTGTAAGTTCACGACTTTTTAAAATTATTTTTTAATTGGAGTTTAACTAAAATTTAAAAATTTGATAAATTGAATTTTATTTTAGCTTAAGATTTTTATTCTAAATTAAAATATTAACTCAATTTGTCCTAAAATTTTGGGATTAGAATTGGACTCTAATTTGGTATTTAATTAAGATTTAAGTTTAATTAAATAAGTCCTCTAATTAAATTAATTGATTCATTTGATTAATTGATGATTTACTTGTTTTGATCTATTTTGTCTAAATTACTTTAAACGACTTTAATTACTAGAAATTTGAAATATATTTATATAATATTTGATGTCATATAGGAATGTATTTATGTGATGAATGTATACTTAATGGATGCTCATGAACTTGATCGGTAAATGTATTGAATGGTTGATTTTTAATTCTTGTTATTTTGGACTTCGAGCTCTTTGTTATTAATTTTGGACATGCTGTTTATTATTATTTCATGGGCGTGCGTGTCCAATTGTGTTAAGCATGCGTATCAACCAGTATAGGATACATGTTGCATCTGGATTAATCAAAAATGCAAAATGTGAAAATCAAATAGATGGAGCATTATATGATTATATGATTCGATGCTATATCTACGAGGAATTGATGAACTAGTCTTTATTCTTGGTTGAGAATGCTAGATAGTACAAGTTCATAATCATCCAAGCTATATATTATGTGTATGTTAGATGTATGCTAAAATATGTATATATATAATTATGATGAGACCTTTGCATGTTAAAAATCTCGTTAAATATTAAGTGGGTGTTTGGTGGGGATTAAAATTAGATTTTTAATAGATTGTTATAGAAGTTTTTGAAATGTGTGGTTGAAAAGTTGTAGGACCCATGAAAGATGTGGTTAATATTGATTGTTTGACTTTAACTTAAATTAAAATTTGATTTTAATTTGAAACAAACATGGCCTAAGTCTGATTTATAATTTGTCTTCTATCATTGTAATTAAAAACTAAAATCCATCATCGATCGCAGCTTGTTGAGTACATTCAAAGTTGATCCATTAGAGATATGTTTAACACTATGAAATATGAGATATTTCTGAATGATAGATTCGATTTAATTAATATTGATTTTTTATTGAGTACACTTAAAGAGATAAACTTTAGGGAGCATAATTAAGTTAACACATAAAATGTGTGAAGACAAGGAGTTGTCACTTTTTAGGTTCTATTAACTGATCATAAATCATTGTATTTAATTGAACTTTTAATTTAATACTACATGTGTTGCCACCTAAACTGGTGTTAAATACTAATAGTGCTAAATAGCATTACTCTTGATAATGATATCTACTCAAATATTTTATTAAAACTTGTTGACTACACTAAATGTTAATATATAACAAATGAGATCCTAGTCTACTAGGAGTTAAGTACAAATTCCATAAATTTATGTGAGTGGATCATAAAATTAAGTTAAACGGTGGAAGCATAATTAATTTAATAAAAAATCATATTAAATTAATTGATGCATTTTTCGACATATTATTTCTTTTATTTTTCATCATTTACAATTTTGAATCATTAGTAATCATATGAATTTGAGAGACTTACTGAATGCCAATAAAATGATGGGGCCAAGTTTTCTTGTCCGACATTGCATTCTGAGAATTGTTCTCAGGTATAAAAAAATTCATCATGTCCTTAATCAGTCCCTTTCCAGAGATACCTATTGAGAAAAAGGTGACTGGTTATAATAAATATGATAGTAACCATAATACTACAACATGTATGATACTTATAGCTATTTCACCTGAGTTACAAAAGTAACATGAGGTTATGGATACTAACACCATAATTTTTCATCTCAAAGAATTGTGCGATGAACAATCCGCGTGTAGAAGGATATGAGATTTTCAAGCAACAATATTTATGTAAAATGGTAGAAGGATTTTTAGTTAAATCTCATATACTAAAAATGATTGGCTACATTGAAAAGTTAGCACAAATGGGATTAGTTTGGACCATGATCAAAGTATTGACTTGGTTCAACAATTTCTGCCAAAGAGATATTCACTCTTTATTATGAATTTTAACATGAATAAGCTCGAATGAACAATTCATGAGTTGTTGAACATGATTAAGACTATTGAACCCAATATCAAGGCAGGTAGTGGGCAAGGCTATTGATTCCTCCAAGGGCACTAAAAGAAGTCTAAAGGAGGCTTTGGGAATTCT